CTGCTGATGTCGAATTTGATGTCGAAGCGTCCCTGGAAGCGATCCTTGTCGCTGTACTGGATGTTCTCCCCGTAGGCCTTGCACTCCACACGCACCTCCCCGCCGTAGCTCAGGTTGAGGAACTGCACGGCCACCAGGGGCTGCAGGTACCGCGGCTGCAGCAGCTTCCCGTAGTAAGGGTAGTACTGCAGCCCGAAGCCAGGGAACCCCCCCATCCCATAATACTCCACCGTGCCCACTTTGTCCACGTCTTCCTCTCTCTGGAGCAGGGGGAGAGGGAATGCAAACGAGAAGTCTTTATCCTGAGCAGCAGCTGGTGGTTTTTCACCCCCCCCGGGGCACCTCCCAGGAAAAGGGCTGTGCTCCACCACCTCATTTTAAGCACTCAGAAGCCACCCCAGCTTCTTGTTGTCACCCGTGTGCCACCTCTGGCTGAAATGCAGTTTGCTGTCTCCCAGCTGCCTCGCAACGCCCAGTAAAACACCCCTTCCCCAGAGGGTTTTTTGTCTTCCCCAGTCCCCCCCCTTGCTGAGAGCTCCCAGCACGGTGCTTGGGAGCAGCACGGCCACTTTGGGGGGTCCCTGTCACTCCCTGGCCCTGCCTTACCCCTCTCTGTGAGGGCTGGGCCAACTGTCACCCACCCCCAGTGAGGTTCTGAGACACTCCTCTTCCAGAGGAGGAGGCAACCCCATGGAGAGCCACCCTGGCTGGCTGGGAGAAGGCAGAGAGGGGTAGCTACACTTGGACCAAGGCTTCCCTGCCCCTGCAGCCTCCAGCCTGCCCCACTGGGTCCCATCTTACCTTGGCAACGCAGTGGACGGGGATGAGAAACTCGTTGTACTTTGGCATGACGTCTGGAGGGAGGGTCTCGTTTACTGGAGCCTGGAAGAGACCCAAAAAAGAAGGGGATGTCACACACCAGACACTTCTCTGCAGCCAGGTCGGTGGTCCCTGCCCTCAGCCCAAATCCCTTCTGGCTCAGCACCAGAGGCAGCAGCTCGGGGCAGAAACAGAACTGGGAGCAGCAGAACTTCACCCAGGAGGAGCTGTTTGCTCTCACTGCTGCAGGGCAGGCAGATGAGGCTGCTTTTAATGGTGTGATGTCACTGGGGAAAGTGCTTCATGGCAGAGCAGTGGCTGCTGGGGCTTGTCTGTGCCAAGGAAAAGGATTTGCCACTGGCTGCCAGATGTGTGCAGCCAGGACTGGAACCCCTTGAGAAAGAGCAAAGAGTGGAGTGGCTCCACCTCTGGGGGAGGGCAAAGGCTCCGAGGGTGTCAGGGGATGGTGGCAGTGCCAACCCTGGCCTTGCTCTTTGCTCTCTTAACAAGTTCAGCAGCTTTGCTGCACAACCCTGCAAGTCTGGGATGTGCTCTGCAGGCACCCTGCCCCACACAAGAGCCACAGGGTCTCTGCTGGAGTGTGGAGTGAGGAGAGCAAACACTGCCTTGGATACAGGCATCATCTGTACATCAAACAGTCATCCCTGGGCTAGACCCTGCTGTCCAGCGTGGCCTGGAGCTCTCAGCTCTGTGGTGAGGAGCAGAGGCAGGTTCCCCTGGAAGGAACAGGTTCCCTAGCCAGCCCATTCCCCCCTCCACTGCACTGCCAGGGGGTGGGGAAGGTGGCCCAGCAGCACTCCAGTTGCTCTGCAGTTGGCAGGCTCTGCACACCACCTGATTCAACAGCACACGTTCTGCCACTGCGTTCTCAAGGGCATTTTTTTAGCCTTTAAATGGGAAAAACTGGAAGTAAAAGCTGTTCCTGTCCAGGTGAGTGCCCTCCAGCACTGCTGCAGATGTGCCTTCAGGTGCAGCACAGAGCAGGTGGGGCACAGACACCCCACAGCATCTGGGAAGCTGCATTAAATGCCCTAAAGCTGCCCTCACCTCTGGCAGCAAGAGCTGTGCCTGACTCTGGGGTACAGTTTATGCCTCACAGCCCACGTTTCAGTCTAGTGAATATCAGCACTACCTCATTTAATGAAGTGTTTTGAGCCAGGCAGGGCACTCTGAGCTGCCTGAGGACAGCATGGAGTGGGTCAGGGCAGCACACAAAGTGCTGACCTTCCTACAGGTACAGCTGGTCTGGGACAGCCCCAGGGAAGGACAGAGGAATTTAAGATGGGTTTCATCATCTGAAGGATGCAGTGAGCAGGCTCAGGAGTGGCCAGAGGAGGAAGGAGTTTGCACCATGAGGTTCATTGCTCCTCTTTACCAACTTGCAGTGTGTGGTTTTGTTTTTTTTCCAAAAAGAAGCATCTTTAAAGCCAGTTATTGAAATGGTCTCACCATTTCTCCTCTGCAGAAGGGGTGTAAGTATTGATCCCTCTCAAGAGGCAGAGAAGCAGGCAGAGCAAACCTGCAGCAAGCTCCTCTTCCTCCTCAGGGACTCCTGCCAGAAAGGGGAGAGCCACTTGCCTTGGGTTTGAAGCCAATGATTCTGTTGAGCTTGACGAGGATGCAGGGCTTGCCCTCCGCGTAGCCGAAGCTCTGGTCGTTTATTCCAGAACAATTTTCCAGCCATTCCCGTTTGAATTTGCAGACCTTCTTCTGGCCCTGGGCATCACTGTAGGCTCCTCTCTCTTTGTAATCACTAGGTTGTTCTGTCACGGGGGGGGAAGGACAAGACAACCACTTGCAACACGACTGTAAGGCAGAGCGACGCTGATGCTTTGCTGCTAGTTTGGATCCCCCCTCATCCAAAGGGGGGGGGGGTCACACCCCAGACCTGCACCCAGCCACCCCCACGTGGGAGCTGGTCCTGAGCCAGCAGGTTGGCAGGGGGGGTGTTTTTTTTAACTCAAGGTTCCTCCAGACAACAAGAGAACAAACGTTTCTCATCCGCTGGCTCAGAGATTTTTTTTCCTGGCAGCTTCCACAAGCAGGTTCCCCATAGATTTTTCTAAGCACGTGTTCTGAGGCCTCATTTGCATTATTCCACACAATCTGTTAAAGGTTTACAACTCCCAGATGTGTTGCTGCATTGCTCCAAGAGGAGTGACACTGGCTCTATCAAAAGTCACCAGTAAAACCCCCGTGGCTTTCAGAGAGGGTAAGGCTGGCAGCACGTGCTTCTGAGAGGCAGCTGCAACGCTCCCCCAGTGAAATCTGGGAGCTGCCAACCACACAACCCCCCCAAAAAGCTTCTAGGTACATCCCTGGCCAAATCTGGGCTGTGCAAACAAGGAGCAGGCAGGTGACTGAGACCAGAGCCTGCCAGCTTAGCAACACGCCACTGGTGACAATAAAAGGAACAGGCAGAGCCCCCCCCTGCTCACCCCCAGCTCCTGATGGCCCTGCTCAGAGCCCCCAGCCACAGGCAGCACGGGAGCCTTACCCCCACAGTCCTGAAAGATGATGTTCTCAGTTTGCTGATCAGCACTGTAGTCCTTCAAGAACTTCTCCAGGTTCTTCACGTACGGCTCGTAACTTTTGGGGTCGGAGACAGTGAAAGAGATTTCTGTCTTCTGTACCTGGGGGACTTGGGTCAGTCCTGTGGGAAGTAAAAATCAGGGAGAAGACATGAGGTACCCCTCAGAGCCTCCAGGCACAGCCAACACAGCCCAAGAGTGTAACTCCTTCCAACAAACTCTACTTTTCAGACTTCAGGACTCGCACAGAACAGCTTAAGCTCCCCCGAGGGCAGGCTCTTATCTCCCCTTTCCCACAACAGTCTGGAGGATTTGTTGCCATGCTTACATCACTAAGCAGATAAAAATCACAGAATCCAGAAGAGAGGCTGCAAGTCAAGGTTTTCCTCAAGAAAACCAGTCACCCACAGGTCCCCTGCCCACTTCTGCCTCCTCCTCGAGGAGAGGAGGGCAGCGGTCTGCGTGAGGCCAGCAGCAGGACATGAAGTCCTACAGGACCCCACTCTTATGTCTGCACCCTCACAGCTTGACTTGAAAGCCTGCAAAACACACTCTGGTGTTTGGGCTCCAGCAGAGCTGTCCACTCATGGACCCTGCAATAGAAAAGGAGAGGGTCCCCAAGGCAGGTACAGCCACCCTGCTGGCTGAGACCCAAATGGCCTTTGTGTCCCCCTGCAGGGTGCTGGGCAGGAGACATTCTCTTACTCAGTAGCCCCATCACTTTCTCTGGTCCTTTCTCTCCACAAGCAGCAATTTCTGCTTGCAGAAACAACCTGCTGAGCTCTCTCATCAGCTCATCACTGAGTAGGTGAGTAGGACCCACCACAACACAGGAGAGGCGTTTCGAACACTATCCTACATTCTGGGCAGCTTAATTAGTTAAGCTCTAATTCTTAGAGCTTAACTAGCTCTGGTTTTGACTTAAGAGGGAGAAAGAAAAGGAATGCACACCAAAGAGAAGGGACTAGATACAAGTGAGGTCTGCAGGTGATGAGAAGTGCCAAGCCCTTTGCTTTTCATGATGGGATCTGGAAGTGGTCTCTCCTGCGTGAGGTTTAGGTCACATTTTAATTGCCTGCACTGAGGCATGGTTAATGTTTTAAACGTAGGGAATGGGACCTGGAGTTCATGCTGCTTTTGTGGCCACCACTGTAATTATTGAGGTCTTGGCTTGTGCTCAGTTTGTCATCTTGAGCAGGCACAAGGAGCAAGGAGTGACGCTGGCTCTGACAGCTCTGAGAACTTTGTCACAACTGTTGCCAGCAAGCTCCCCTGGTGCAAGCCTTGGGCTCAGAGCTGAGCTGCTTGGCCCCAAACACAAGAGCTTGTGACTCCAGCAAGTTTTCTAAAGCCACTGGAGTGCTTCTGCTTAGGCCCTCCTCAAGCCAGCTCACCACTCCCCCCCTGCTACCCACTGAGCTGGAATTTGTAACCTAGGACAAAGATTAGCTTTGTTCCCCCCAAGGCAGCTCCTAAGTCACCCAAGATAGTGAGCAACCAGTGAGTAACTCAGGGGTTGCAGGTTTTATTCCAGTAAGCAGCTTTAACCACTCAAAACTCTCTCTGGTACTAATTGACCAGGTTTAGGGCTACAAGTTTAGAAGCAAGTTACTACTCCATGAGCAGAACTGCATCCTACCCTCTGGAGTTGGTGGCTTCCAACTCCTTTTTCTGAGCAATTACTTGTTTTCTTGCTTCAAAGAGTTATAAATATATATAAAATAAGCTGAGTTCAATTTTAGCAAGGGACTTAATGCCAGCCTGCCAGAGGCTCCTCATGTTACCACTCAGCTGGGAAGCAACAGGCTCAGAGTGGCTCTGGGACTGCAGCAGAGGCAGCCAGGCCTCAGCTCCTCCTGTGCTGCCTTCTCCACAGTTCAAGTTACAGGTGTGTCATTCAAGTGTATAAATATAAAATTCCAGAAAGCTTGGCCAGGCTTGTTATGCTTTGGCCAGGCAGTTCAGCTAGCTACTAGTTTTGCTCAGGATCTCTAAAAATGAAGGGTTTTTGTCTTGTCCAAGGCAATGCAAAGGCACCTGGCCCAGCTGAAGGGAAGGTCAGCAACAGGCACTCTGGTGGGTACAATCCACCTAGAAGATCCCCACTCTTTGGTTAGGAGAGCTGCCCACTTCATTTTCCCCCTCTCTGCACCCCACAGCCAAATTAAAACCTTCAGTGCTGTTATCAGAGCAGCACCATCCCTGAATCCTTCTCCTTAAGCAAAGTGTGTTGATTTGGTGTGACAAAAGGAGGTAACCTCTGCAAAACACTCCTGTAACCTTAGTGAAACCTCCCCTCACTCCCATTCAGGAACTGAAGACAGCAGGGACAAGAGAAATCACAAGGCTGAGCCACTCCAGTGCTACCTGGTTGCTAGACACCTAAGGCTGGATGTGGGTTCAATAAGTTACAGGTATGAATAAGCCCCTCAGGGGCTTCAGGCACATGAGACATTCACAACCAAAGTCCTGTGGGGAGAAAGAAATCAAGCTTCAAGTGCTTTCACAGCCAAGAGTCTGAAGAACCCCCTCCTCATCCTCAAACTGCTAGTTCTACATCTCATGCCATAACCAGAGGTGCATCAGGGTATCATGTATGGTGATGCTGTGCTTTGCATGTGGAAAAATCCAGTAAATTATTGCTGAAATATTAACAAATTAGAGATTTTCTGCAATTGGCTCTTGGGAGTGCATTGCTAGGAAACAATTCCCATCTTCACTTGACTAACACTGTCCACATAAATCAGTGATTTTATAACAGACACCACCTTCTGTTGGCTTTCTAACTCTGTGGATGCACAAAGATACCAAGAGCAAAAAAAAAAGGCACATAAAGTCACTGATTATTTTTTCCAGCTGCAGTTCTACTTGCAAAATCCTGTTGCAGTTTAAAATCACATCTATTCAAGTTCATTTATAATCAAGTTTTCCCCTTTATCACTCAAAGCTGACAGAGGGAGACTTCAGGAAAAAGTCTGAGGGTGATGAAGAGTAAACTAGAGGTGGGAAGTGCAGGGTGCTATTAGGAAGGGTTGTGTAAGTCTGTAGTAACCACTCTTGCTTCACCACACAATGTTCACTTCAAAGAACCACGGAATCTTGATTCAGAATGAGTCTGAACACTCCTGGGATGACACAGATGACAAAGAGAGTGGTCACAACACTGTTCCTATGCACCACTCTCCCCCCAGCTCACTGCATGAGGATTTAAGAGCCCCCACACCATGCCATGTCTTTCCACCTCATCTACAGAGTGCAAAAAAACAGGTGCAACTTTTTTTTACCCATGCAGCAAAATCTGTTTGGGAGATAAAATCCCTGGAGCTTGAGATTCAGAGATTTTTTCCAAACATAGGTGCTTAGACAAAAGGCAGAAGCAGAACAGTGAGACCTCACAGGAGGCAGCATGCACTCCTTGGGGCCTTCCTGCTTAAGGAAGCCGTGGGGAATACACACTAGAGCTCAGCCCTTGCAGCAGAGACACCCAAAAATCCCCTGGCAGGGGGGCACTGGGCAGGGACTCCCCCTTCCAGCAGCCCCAGGGATGGGATGCCACGTTCCACAGGAGGCACACCACAAGATGGCAGGATGCACAGCCCAATTTGTCCTGGGCTGGGGAAGGGGAGGAGGAAAATGGAGCTGGTTTATTATTTTAAGCACTGTGTTTCCAAGAGGTGTTCTCCTCCTTTCCTAGGAGCAGGGAAGTGCTCTGTGCTCCAAGCAGAGTCTGAGCCTGCAGCACACGTGGAGCTGGGGCTGTCGCAATGGGAAGGGCTGGGCCAGGAGCTGAGCTGCACCAGCCCTTCCCCCATCCCAGACAAAAAGAGGAAGGAGGGAGGGGAAAAAAAAAAGGTATGGTGGAACAGCACAAAAACTCAGCTTGCCCTGGAGCCCTGTGTAACATTCCTGTCGTGGCCAATGCAGAGAGCAATTAGCATATTAATGACACTTGGCTGTAAAAATAGCACTTTATGGCTTTCCATGTTATAGCCATGTCAATAACTCAATAAAACATCCTGTAGGTTCTGTTGCTGTTATGAAATACGTTGTATTTCTGAACAAGAATGGTTTATAGCAGCCCCTGCAGTGTTTTCTTGCAAATCCTGAAGTGTAGCATCCCCTTTCCCAGTCATTTTGGGTTGACACAACAAGAACTTCCTCAAGGACAGAACACTAACAAGAATAAACCCATGTTTTCTAGCTTCCTAAAAACTCCAAGGCTCTCCCAAGCCACCAGTATACCTACTTGGCTTGCAAATCTTCCCACCAGAACCAGGAATCAGAATTTCACAACACCCTATTTTATGTAGCTCACAGTCTGCAGGGGTCCCAGATCCCAAAAAGAACAGTTTGATGCTCATCAAGTGCAGGAGCAAACGTGCCCACACCTCTGCTCCTTGTCAGAAGGGCAGTTGTGTGCTTACAGCACAGGGGAGACCCCCAGCTTGCCCACATCTGTGGCAAGAGCTGTCACATGCTGCCCTGCAAAGGACCCTGTACTACTAACTGTTAATTATTTCCTTTAAGTTTATGCCTGTGCCATCACAGGGGTTCAAACCCCTTGTTTTTTGGGCTGCCTGCTGTCACTTATTCAAGGAGCCAGAATTTGTTCCCCCTGATTTCAGTACATGTCATGAAAGCCCCAAGATCCCCAATGAGCTTTTCATTCTTCCTCCATTTTGATTTCTGTAGTACACACAAGAACCTCCAAATTCAGGGTGTTTTTCTTGGTTAAAAAAAAGGGATAAACTCCAGAAAAACTGGAGCAGCATACAATAAAGAGATTAATAAAAAATCCTCTGCAGACTGACGTCTTAACACAGAGTTGCTTTGAAACTGGCCTGCTATTACACAGAAAGTAAACAGTTTACCTAGAATGAGTAATTATGTGACACCAGGCTAAACAGCAGGTCTAGCTGGACATGACCCAAGATCCATGGGCTTCTTCACTAACTATTTCACATCTGGTGAGACCACTGGGCTTCAGGCAGGGAAAAAAAAAACCCACTATTAAAATAACTACTCCACCATTAGCCACGTTGGCTTTTCAGATGCAGCTAAATGGCTCTGGGCAACATCAGGGACAGCTCAGTCTTCCCTGCAAATGTCAGAGCTGGAAACTGCCACTTTTAGTGCTTAAGATTGGATCCACCCCAGCCACGCTGGTACATTAAGAAGGGTTACACATTAACACAGCAGTTCCACTCTCTGTTGTGTCTGTGGTGGAAAAGCAATTAACTGAAAAAAAAAACAAACCAGAGATGATTCTTTGCTGGATCTAGCACCACTTGGTGATGGTAAATGTTCCTTGTGTTGTTAGAGCAGGGAGTAATCAGAGCAGAGCACTGCAGGCAGCGAGGCTGCGAGACACCCTGCGACACCAGAGCCAACTTCTGTAGCTAGGAGCCATCAGCCTCCCAATTGTCACTTAAATACCACTGTTATTAAAAGCTTCTGAACTGTTTTACAGAGCAACTGGAGACAGATCGTTACCATCCCCAGTGCCAAGCAGTCAAGGTCATTTGCAATGTGGGAAAGCAGGAGCTGTGCAGCTCCCCCCTCGGCCGGAGCCGCAGCCGGCGGGGATGGGCCAGAGGGGAACCTGCAGCAAGGGCTGGCTGCTGCCCCTGCCCCCACCCAGGCACTGCTCAAGCCATCACCTCGGTTCCCAGCAGAGATTTCTCTCTCCTGGTAAAGACAGGTCGTGCATCAGCAACTGCAAGACCCACCTTGAACCTCCCGTGACACCCTCAACTGAAATAACCATCAGTAGGTGCTGCCGTCTCCTCTAGATCCCACAGCACAGGGCAGGGTTGGATAATTCACTAAGCACACCCAGAATTTATACTGGTTTAGAACCCACACTTCAGTGTTGGATAATAATTCAGTAAGCACACCCAGAATTTATACTGGTTTAGAACCCACAGTTCAGTGTTGGGTAATAATTCAGTTAGCACACCCAGAATTTATACTCTTTCTCCCCTTTCTCCTTGGACACCCCAGTTTCACAGCTGAAACTAACATTTTACCTTTGTCCCTTCCCTTAGCCATGGGAATACAGTAGCTAGGAATAAAAAAACCCCAGAAATCAAGGTTCTTTGTATAGCTTATTCCCAAGTGAAGCCCCTTAGCCTCATTCCATCGCTTTGGTTTAGGGGAAGGAAAGAAGGGCAATCCAGGTTCGAGCTCCTCTCAGACAGGGGAGACATTTCATGTGAGGCAACCTTTAATTCTAGCAGGATTGCCTTCAGATCTCCAGCACTGCTAACACAGAAGGCTGAGAACATACCCACCCCCTACAAATGTGTTGCAGCAACGACAGGCTTATTTCATCCTCCTTCTTGAGGTGAGTAACCAACCCGCCCCCCCAGAGCAGCCTGCAGCAAGTCAAACACCAGCCTCCTGTTTGTTACCTGGAGGTGCCACTCGATCCTGGTATTTGGGCTCAAATTCACTGACAGTCAGCAACATCACTTGGATGGTCCCAATGAATATACCTGCCAGGCAACCGTAGAAGATGACATAGAAGAGGAGGATCTTAACTGCAAGAGAAAACAGAAAGAGGAATCAATTCAAGCCCTCCAGGCATTTGGATTTCAGGACAAAATTCCCAACCTCTGGCACTTGCAAGAAGAGCCCAGCACAGCGAGTTCAGGGGTTTTTAACAGCAAGATTGTGCCCTGATGCAGACAGAAAACATCACTCCAACTGAGGAGCCTAGAAGCACGGGTAGCTGAAACCCCACAAATCTACAAATCAGGATTTGGGATGGTAAAACATGAAGATTAAACCATGTTCTTTCTTATTTTCAAGGCTCCCTCGGCTGACCCAGCAGTGCCACTGCATGTCATCACAGGGGACAGACTTCCAGAGCAGCAAGTGCCCAGCTGCGGGTGTACTCTGAAGGACACTCATTCTAGGCCACAAGGATATTTCCAGAAGACTCCACAGAAAACGTTTCACTCGTGTTTAAAACCAATTATAAAACCTTATCTCCCTTAGTAATTCAGTCTACCACCTTCACTAAAGACAATGGGAGCAAGATCTGGGCCCCAATAAGCTCCAATACTCAATGTCAAATGGAGGGAAGCACTCGGGCATGTGACAATACTGCTCATTTATCAGCCTTGCATGTCTACAGAGGGACTCCAGCACTGCTTCTGTCAATTAAAAAGTGAATTACATAATAATGAAAGATTGAATTCAGTTTGGGTCTAAAGGGAGATACTCAGAATAATCAAAAGGGTGGGGTGGGGGGGCAGAGTGAAGACGAGCCTGGAGACACAGCGTGGCTGAGACTCAGGGTATCAGTTACCAGTTCACAAGGATTATCTCAATTAACTGCACAGTAACATTCCGTCCTAGGCATCACCAGGCCACCTACGGGAAGGATCAGCCAGCCCATGCCAGGCAACTGCATGCTCATGGAGCTGCAGGAACAACCAGGCCAGCCCAGAGATGAAAGGGAAGCCCGCTTGATCTGAGACTGTCCTCATCTAACTGCAAGCACCAAAAGAGCTGCTTTATTTGAAGGCCTCGAAGCGATGAGGTACAAGGGGAAAGGAGGAAGCAGTAGGTGGGAGTATTCCTCCTGGCTCCTCAGCCCCAAGGTAAAAAAAGCTCCATCACTGGAGAAGCCTCTTGATGGCAGCAGGCAGGTCTGGCTGCGTTATTTCCAAGTCTATGAAAGACAGGCGAGCAGGAGGGACAGTCAGTGCCACGGAGGCTGAGGAACACTGTCTGGAAGGTACTCCATCCTCATCTTCCTCACGTGCAGCGGAGGCAGGGGAGACAGCCGAGGCTGGAGGGCAGAGCTGGGTGCAGCAACGTGGTGCTCCAGGAGTTAAAAGCACTCTTTGGTATCCAGGCAGCGTAAAGCAAGTGCCGTGACGTCAGGGACGTGTGGAAATTTTTTCCAGAGCACGGTCATAGGAGGTGCTGTTGTAACAAACCAAACACTAAGGCTGTCGTCCGCAGCGTAACGCCTTTGAGTTTTGTAACATCAAAAGGCAAACGCTGGGAGGGAGCTTATTTAATCAGGTTCCCAGCCAGGATGCTCTTAACGTCAAAGACACATTAAAGGTCAAAACCGCTCCAAGGTCTCAGGAAAACACGCAGCGGGTCTGGCAAGGGAGCACAAGGAGGCTGAAGGGGAAAACCTCCCGCAACAGGTTGGCTTATAGCAGAGGAATCAGCCCGCAGATGAGCCCTGCAGATGGAGATCGGTCCTAGGCAGGTAGGTGCAGGAGCTCTGGGAGAAGGACCCGCTTCAGCCTCTGCATCTGAAGCACTGCGCAGTTGCCTGGCGCCTCAGGAGCAGAGAGCACCTCTCCGTGAGCACCCACAGCCCAATTCTGCTCACGTAAAGACACGGCAGGAGCCTGCTCGAGTCCGCCCGCTCGCCAGAGCTCGAGCTGGCAGCTCGGGATGTGGCACCTCCAGCCGATCCGTTACCACAGGGGCCGAATTCAACATCGCAAGGGTGGCACAGCAGCTGTGGTTGGCAGCAACTGGAAGACTATTTGTGTAAAGAAAACGTTAAAAGCCTCTAAGCGCTATTTGTACAGCACCTAACGAATACACCGTGAGCGTTTAACCACGAACACGCATAGAGCCGTTGCCTTCTTGCATAGGCATTAAAAGCCAATTGTTCCTGCTCGACAAGGTAAAATCACCTCCATTTCCTTTATCCAGAGAAAAAGGGACAAAAAAAAGCAAGCCACCCTGAAGTGTAGGGCGGAGGACGGCTGGAAGGACAGGCTCCTCCGACGGCGATGCTCCGGGCCGGGCCGGCCGCCGGGGAAGGAGACCCAAGGACGAGGCGCCCTCGCCAAGGTCGGC